TGCTGTTATATGGAAAGTGACCAAACACTTTATTCTTCCTGTAAAAATGGGTGTGGCCATTTGTAGATTTTATGGGTCTTGCTTCCTGTCTCATTCACTTCCAGCTATTTTTAGCTGTACAAAATCACTGGTTTTGCTGCTTAATATTGCAAATTGGCGTGTCTTACCCTATTATTTTAATGTATTATCGTAATTACAAACACACTAGTTTGTAGTGCAAACAGTTTTACCGTTTACTGCATGTTGTAGTTCTTCTCATTATTTCCCTATAGTGGCTAATCAACCGGAAGTCTCGCCCATAGGCTTACTTCCGCATTGAAGAATAAGGTGGATATTTCAATGGTTTGCTCGTTTTAGCTTTATCTAATCAAAATGTTTCAAATAGAACATGTTTTCTTTGGAATATAATTTTAATTGTTATCAGTTTATAGCTTTTTCCTTTCCTTCTCGTATAGGATTAGATGCTTCCTGTTAAAACTCCTTAACCAAAACTCTTAATGACATCATTCACCATGAAGTGACATCATTTTGGAGGGAAAACAACAGCACACTCATCAGTTTGCTGTAGCAATAGATTTGATGGTTTCTGTGATGTTTAGTGGCAATAGTTGCTTAGCTTCACTCTAAAAAGTTCTTACGAATATAGTTGACACCTCATGTATGTTAACTGGCTAACTTTAACATTTTTATTTCTGTACTGTTATTTTTGGCACCGAATGAATGATTCACATATAATTGACTCTGAATAGGAGAAATTATTTCACATAGAAAAAATTACATCACTTTTAATGACCTGACATGACTAGAATGAATGAACTCAGAAGGGACTGGAAGTTCTATTCTGTAATGACTTTAATTCTGGTGTTCTCCCAAAACTAACTGAGCAGCAGTTACTATGGTTACTGAGGCTACTGGTCCAAGAAAACCAGAGTACAAATGACACATTCAAGCTCTTCTGTTTATTTCTCTGTCTCCATGAACTACAGTCATTAACAAAATCGCATTAAGTCAATTTGACACATCAAAACATTGTCAAATGTTTGGACACACATTTGTACACTCCACAGTGATTGAACACAAAGCATTAATGTCCAGGAGTTCTGAATGAAAACCTTGAGAAGAACCTTCCTCTCGAAACCCTGAGCTGAGTGCAAATGATTTAGAAATCAGGAAACTGTTTGATTTCTTCACCAGCTCAGTTATAACACTAGTGTCACCGGTGTCAGAAATCATTAGTGTTTTAAACACAAAATGATAGAAAAAAGGTATATAATAGCTAAGATGAATGTGGCCTGAACGATGCATTTACACTTGGTCCGAGTCTCAAACATCAGTGTGAGGTAGTCTGAGTAATCAGCCATATTTTTTTATGATCAGATAGCAATCTGATTACTAATATCGCATAAAGTGACCAAATATAAATACAACAGACATGTTTATTTCTTTCTAATTCGGTTTCTGCAGAGCTCATGCAAAAGTGTGGGTTAGTGAAGAAAAGAGAAGTTAAATTGAACTTGATTGTAAGCATTACGCTCTGTAACTGATGATGACTGGTGAAGATTTTAATGAGGCATATACAGACTGTTTGAACATTTGACCCTTTGAGAATAAACCTCCATACAAAGGTTACCTCGTGGCACATAAACGTGCATGCATGAACACCTCCGCACATTGTTGCCTCGTGTGTTCAGCATGTTATTTATTCAAACAAATATAATCAATGGCCAGCCGTGTCAATAGCAGCTGATAGCTGACAGCACATGGTGTTTATTTCATAGAGAGAGTGAACATGCCTTACACAAGAGTTCAGCAGCAAACACATTTGCACACTTATTTTGATTTGTGAACGTGCCAGCTGTAATCTCAACATCTTTTTGTTTGTTAGGATGCGGGTGTTTCTCAGCGGCGTGTCACAGTAAATGAGCCGCAGCTCTCGTCTGGACGCTTCAGACTTCTGGCCCGGTCACTTCTGAGTCACTTATTAAAAATTGCAGCTCACTTTCAGATGTGCTTATGCCTCTGTTTCTGAGTGGGCTAGTGATTGGGAAATATGTTTTTGGAAATATAACAAATTAAGGCCTAAAGTGATCTTATATAGTGTTAAGTTCATGAAGATGCACTTTTACTTGAGATGCACATTTAACATATGAAGTCTTCATAAAAGCCAATCAAATTTAAGTGTGGCCCACAATGGTTAATTCAGCTGTTCGGTTCAGCCATCCATATCTTCTGAACTCTTAAGTCAAAACTTGGCACACATGGATGTCCTGAGGACTCCTGACAAATTGTTTGTGATGGGGGCGCTGTAATATAAGAAAAAGAACTGCAACTGTATCATTGTGGTAAGTTTCTCTACTTTTCCTGATGATTTTTCCTCATGCCAAGCGAATAAACTGAAGCACAGAATCAAACTCTTCCATTTCCAGTAATCTGACAATGTAGAAGATTGTGTTTGGCTATTATCACCATAACATGAAAACCATATTTTTGTAATTAAGAAAGATGAATCCAGATATGAATATGGGTCAGTGGTCAGTTATAGGTTATGTATTATTGCATTCACCTCTTCTGCTGTAGGTCTACCGGTCTTGCTCATAGAATATCCAAAATCTCATAAGAACTCAATGCAAAATGTTTTTTTTTTTAAAGTTATTTTTGTGTACAGAATCTGGCTATGTTCTTCTTGTACAGTTATGAATAAAGAATCATTGCAACACTAGCATGCGTTATAAATAATAATAGATTAATTTTATATTTATGCAAAATGGGATCAAACCGATTTAAAGGACTGGGTGAGTGCAGTGACGCAGGGCTTTGTGTCCGCTGATGAATCCTGATCGACAGCTGCCCCACTCTGACACGAGCAGAACACTCACCTCTGCCTGGCCCTCAGACATTTCAGGTTATGAAGTTTGCACTTGGTGGCGTTTTAAAAAAAAGAATGCTCAGTAAACATTACAGTGATGTCCTGAGACACACTTTACAAAATAATGGTTCTTTATTAGCAGTGATGCTTCTATGAAGAACCTTTAACATTCACGGAACCCTTCCATTCCACAAAAGGTTCTTTATATGATTCAAATGTTCTTCGCACTAAGACAAATGGTTCTTTTAAGGAACTGTTCACTGAAAGGTTTTTTGGGAAACCAAACACGGTTCTTCTATGGCATCACTGCAAAAACGTCCTTTTGGAAGCTTTATTTTTAGGCGTGTAGATCAAAGTGAAACTGACTTTCAAAAGTCTAAGTGTGCTAACTAATGGAAGTGCAGGTGTTTACAGATGTGTAACAAACCAGATGGAGTCATTTGATGTTCAAGACGCTTTTCTATCACGTCCCTAGAGGGCAATAAAAGACACCAAACTTCCTGACACTCACCCTTCATTTACTTTGTGTTGTATTGACTTGCATTATATTTCTTCTCACAAGCAGATGTGCTAGAATGGCATTTTTTTGCATTTTCAGCTGCATTACGGCTTTTATTACACTTTTAAACAATGCACTGCTCTATGGTGTGATTTAATTAATATGACTATTGCACATTACTGTTTGTGATTTTATTTTTAAAACAGGGTTTTAATCTATCTATCTATCTAATCTCTCTGTCCATCCATCCATCTCTCTGTCTGTCATCTCATCTATCACCTTGTAAAAAATCTTGTTGAATGTGCATTTGTAATTTATTTCTAATCTTAAAAGTATGTTTAAAAAAAACTGTACTTGCAGATAATGTAATATTAATGAAAAAGCCACTTAAAGAGAGACAAATTCATGTTTCTTAACACACCGAAGTGCACTTTTAAAAGTACACTGTAATAATGTCAAATTAAAAGTTCTACTCTAAAGTACACTTTAAATCATTGTTTTAATGTTTTTTAATGATTTTGTCGTGCTTTAAAGAAGTGCACTTATTTTGATGTGTTGACTAACTTACTAAAGCACATGTAAAGTACTTGATTATAAATTCAACTGAGTTTTTCGGTATTACATTTAATGTAAATATATTTTAGATATATTGCAACTTTATTATAAATGTGTGTGACACTTTATTTTAAGGTGTCCTTGAATTTTATATTTATGCAAAGTTGTTTTGCCATCTTAATAGTCAAAATAATTTGCATCTTTTGGGCTGTTTCTAATTGTACAATATAACATTTCACGCTCATTTCACAACTAATGGTTTGTATTCCTGCAAACAGTACAGTAAACTGACTTTACTTTAGCTTTGAGGAGCCGCCGTTTATTATTTACCAGTAGACCTTTGAATAACCTCAAACCGAATCTCTAACAATAATTTATAAGAAAGTGGCGTTTAAGATACTCAGCAAATATGAAGTAGAGCATGTCACACTGAAGGACACTACTTGACTTTACATGGCATGTGTTTATTTGTGATTTTCCATTCAGTACGTTATTTAAGATCTTCTGCATGGATCCCTGTAGTCTCCAGTGACATTCAGTAGAAACGCAATTAGAGTAGTTTACTGATAGGCTGGTCAAATGTTTTTCGGTATTACATTTAATGTAAATATATTTTAGATATATTGCAACTTTATTATAAATGTGTGTGACACTTTATTTTAAGGTGTCCTTGTTACACATGTTACATGTAGCCTACTTACTATTTTAATAACAATAAATAAAGCATAAATGCATGCAAGTAACTCTAAGCCAAAGCCTAATCCTACTTTCCAGATTAAGCTCGACTCTCTGCTGCTTTTCTACGAGTGCTCGGAGAACCCCATGGCCAAAACGTTTCACCCCACCATCATCGGCGAGAGCGTGTACGGAGACTTCGCCACGGCTCTAAGCCAAAGCCTAATCCTAACCCATATAGTAAGTACATGTAGTTAATTAATATTACTCAGTACTTAAATGTATAATTACACTGTAACAAGAACACCGTAAAGTGTAAGGTAAATGTGCGTATCTGTGTGCTATGATTAAATGTGAGTTTGAGCGCACAGCTGTGGAGAGATGAGTCGTGTGTTTTCATTGGGTTGCTGTTGTGTGTGTGTGTGTGTGTGTGTGTGTGTGTGGTGAAGTGATAGGCGTGACCTGAGGCGCACAGAAAGCTCCAGCACTGCCAGACTGCTGTCATACTCCACTCTCCAGCTCTGCGTGCGCGGATGACCCTCTCCAGAGCAGCACATAGAAGAAGCACAGACCTCCGCAGCGTCTCGCATCAAGCGCATTATGCGTCTCCTCAGCTCTCCTCCTAACATCTCCAGGCAGTAGATCGCTCCTCGACTCCTCCAGCAGACGCGACCATGGCTGAAGAGGACAGCGCGAACTTCAGCGTGTTGAGCTGGGAGCAGGTCCAGCGGCTGGACCTCATCCTGACCGAGAGCATCCCGATCCACGGCCGAGGAAACTTCCCGACGCTGCAGATGAAGCCGCGGCAGATCGTGACGGCGGTGCGGAGCCGCATGCGGGAGCAGCGCATCCATGTGCGGGACGTGCGTCTCAACGGGTCCGCCGCCAGTCACGTCCTGCACGGGGACAGCGGGCTCGGCTATAAGGACCTGGACCTCATATTCTGCGTGGACCTGAAGGGAGAGACGGAGTTTCAGATCGTCAAGAACATAGTGCTGGACTGTCTGCTGGACTTCTTACCTGATGGACCTCCTGAAATACTGCCATCTTCTGGTCAGGGGTTTCCGAGCCGCCTCCGAGTCCGAGATGAAGTCTTTCCAGCGCTACATGTGCTCCCGCTTCTTCATCGACTTCTCGGACATCAGCGAACAACAGCGCAAGCTGGAGTCTTACCTCCAGAACCACTTTGTGGGCTTGGAGGACCGCAAGTACGATTATCTGACGACGCTTGTGGGTGAGAATGAAGTTTGTTTCCAGGCTTCTAGATGAAAGGTATTTTCAGAAACCTCTGATGGTGGGACGCTATTTGCTGTAACATTCAAGCAGGGAATTCGACAGCTCCTGCTGAAGTAAAAGCCGCTGTGTTCCTGTGCTCCGTCACAGCTGCTCCGCCGGCTGAACGTGACCCCGCGTTCACCCGCTGGTAACAGAGTGTTAACCTGTTCTTGATTAATAGCGCTGCGGAAGGAAGCAGGCGGGGCCGTGGCATATATGTTTAGACTTGACAAAGAGTCTTGAGAGGGAAGAGGAAAGTGAGAGTGTGAGGGAGAGACGCAGACGAGAGCGAGGGAGGGAGGGAGGGAGGGCTGGAGAGATGGGTGCAGCTGGTGAAGGGGTTTATCTCCTTCGACAAATGTCTTTTAATCAACACAGCTTCTTTCATTACTATGGGCAATTTGGCTGAACAGACTCGAGGATTTAATAGGACTGAGAAGCACAGTGGAATGCAAACTTTGCAGTCGAGTTTCCAATATTCCTCATATCACAGCATGCAACTGAAGTGTGCTCAATTGGAGACAATTTGGCATTATAACGATGAAATAAGCTTGCATTTGCAATGCATAACATGGAATTCTGATTATTTGTCTGAATGAGATTTTAAAAGGGTCATATCATACTTTTTCATTGAGGTCCACTCATAATATTTTAGCTTCTCATTTGAACTGTTTTTCAACCACTTCCTGATCTTTAGATGCGAAAGACCTCTAAAAAACACAAACCCTGTGCTTTGTGCAGCTCGTGCACAAGATTTGGGTTAGCTGTCAGGTCCAGTGTTCATTTATCTGTCTGATTTTTGTAAAGGCATATTCTCTGTGAGTTTCCGATCACACAGTGGACATCACTGATGTGTGAATAATGTATTCATCTGTCTGTTATAAGAAATTTGTGGATGTTTAGTCTGAATAAATATTCTTTTTGGACTGGGAAGCAAGTTTTGATTTCTAAAATCAAAAAGTATGTTAAAAGTATGTTTATTTCCAAATGTATTTGTCTGCCCGAATCCCTTTGAACTAAAATATTTACTTTAAAAGGTACATTCCTGAGATTTTAAATTCATATTTTAATAATTACAACAATATTAAGAACACAGTTGTATGTTCACGGTTCTCTGATGTTGGTCACATGACATGCAGCTAAACAAATACAAACAAAACAGTGCTTTGAATTATTTTATTTTAACAAAAATAGATGACTTCTATAGGAGCAAATCATATTTTAATACACCGTTTTGGCCATGCAACCTTTTTCAAAAGTGATTCAGAATTCCTCTATTTGTTGTTAGACTCTTACTTTACTTTTATTCCTGCACTCCTGCTTATATGACTTACTAGGAGCTGCGGTGGTATTTTTAATGTTATTTTATTTTAAAATAATTAATTTAGATTTAGAAATGATTTCTTTATTAATTATTAGCTTCTTGTGAATACCAGATAAGGAAACTCTAATATAGTACATCTAAAAGATGAAGCAAAATGTGATTCTTCATAACATGGCCCTTTTAAAAAACAGCAATGGATGCATTTCTAAAGAAATGAAGACACGGCTGTTGCAGTGATTGACATCCAGCAGAATCTGCATTAGCATTTGTTTTTAATCAATGTGATCTGCGGTGTTCTTAAAGACTGATTCTGTGCTGATCATGACGTCTCACCTCTTTTAGTATTTTACGTGTCTGTGGTTCTCACTCGCCCTCCAGTTTGTCTTGACATTTTGACGGTATCCTGTGGATTTTGCTGGCAGCGGGATGTTGGACTCGCTCTGTGAAGTTTGAGTTACTTTCTTGGCATTTTTGGATGATGCCAAATGCTTAGTGTTCAGATGTCTTGTAAAAAAACAACAGCAACACATTTTTGGGACAAACACACATTATGCTTGTTTTTCTTAGTTATTGTATCAGTGAATTTAATTGTCATTCTGCTTTGAAATCTTTGTTTAAGCTGCTAAATGTCATTTTTTTTAACTGCTTATTTTGTGCATAATTTTTGTGTTCAATTGATTGACGATTTGACACGTTTTCCTCAATAAAAAATACAAAAAGAAATGTCCTTTATGTTGCATTTAACTGTATATTGTAAATTCTCTCAAGACTTTTTCATTATGTTCATGTATTCAGGTTTCGTTTTACTCTCCTTTGTTTAATATGCAAATCTAACTGTTTGATTATTTTTATGTCCGAACATGTGAACACCTCTCTGCATTTATAGCTAGTTTGCAGCATATATTTGAGTTCAGTAAAAGAGCCAAGAAAGCTTTATCTGCTGGATAAATGCTCGCATGAACCAAAAAGAGGCAGTTTTGTTCCACAGATCAACTAAAATGGCCTTTAAAAAGGTACTTTATTGTGTAATTGTTTTATGTTTTTTTTTCATGTGATTTCTGCACCACTTTCAGCATCGAATGAAAAAAGAGATATGATAAAGAGAAATATGATTTCTGAAGTAATTTAACATTTTTTAAAAATCACATATGTACTCTGAATTTGAATTTGGGACACAACAAGATTTTACAGAATAACTGATGTAACTATTTGGTGTAACTACTGTATACAGAACTATATGAACCTATATCACCTAAAAGGAAATATAATTTTAGAGGCGGAGCAGAATGAAACAGGAACTTAAAAATAAAATAAAATAAATATACCAAAAAATACAGAGCAAAAATTTTTCATGATATCAGCTAAAAAGAAACCGATCTAATTAGTACATGTACCAATAGGGACAATCTTAATGTTATATTAAACTCCAGCACCAGATTTCTTCCAGGGATAAATCATCATATGTGTTCTACTGAAGAAACAAAGTCACCTACATCTTGGATGCCCTGGGGGTAAGCAGATAAACTCACATTTTCATTTTTGGGTGAACTATCCCTTTAAGACGATGTATTATGTATTACTACTGGATACTTATCAGCATTTTAATGTCATGGGCAGAATGAAACATAGGGACTTACAACCCGTAATGAAGAAAGCCAGCAAGAAGAACTGCAGTTCTCAGAGTGTTCTTATGGCTGAATTATACATTTTGAACACAAACCGCAAACAGGTCAATCGAAAAGGTCATTTGGGGTGAACTGCGTCAGAACGGCCACAGTAACTCTGTGATTTCCTCTGGTTTTACTGGAGCTCAGGCTTCGACAGCAGCTGCACTCAGTGAGCAATAAACATATTTGTGTGTGTGTGAGATGACATTTGTGTAAAGCCACAGTCTGCTGGACATGGATATGACATCAGCTGTCACCCGGGGCAACCAGACCTTTAGACGGGTCAACCTTTAGTGCCCGCTAAGAATAGAGCCGCTATCGCTGTGTGTTTCTACTTGATTGATGCGCGGTGAGCAATGATTTTGTCAAATGTGACGTCACAGCTCTTGTGTTATGTACAGGCCAGTGGACTTTGAACTCAGTGTTGATGTGTGCCAATGGAAACACTAGCTCTGTTCCTCCCCTACATAGGCAGCTACCTTCTAAGACAACATCCTAACCGTCATGGAATCTCATAAATTACAGATGGTCACATCATATATACAGAAACGCTGGTCACTCATACATCACTGACTCGGAAGCAAACATTTGACTCACTAGTTGAGTACCAAATGATGCACTGTACATTATGTACTCGCAGTGTAGTATGAAAGGTCATTTTGTCATTCACTATCAGAGTCTGACAGAGTCCCCCCACCTCTGCAACATAATTAAAGCGTGCATGAAGTGTCCGACATTACGCACGTTGTTTTTTTGGTTATTTATGTGCATCATCCAGGCAGCCTATTTACACTGCTCTTTTTCTTTTTGGAACACTGTACTACAAAACGCCATAGAATATGGCATAAGTATGCAATTTGGGATGCACCTACTGATTCTACTAATTTAACATTAGCATGTTGCTAAGCCAACAGCAAAATGCTGTAAAAAGTATAGAAAAGCATATACATTAGGCCATAACTGAGGCATATGTGATACACATCTCGATGCATAGCCAACGATGCGAAACATTAAAGATACATATGAAGCAGCTACTGATGCAAAGCGATATGATTCACCGCTATTACGATGCAGTGTGATCCGATTTTGATTTGATTCAACACAATATGATTCAATGCAATACGATGCAATGGGGAAAAAAATATGGTGCTCTGCAATTCAGTTTGGTACAGAAAGTTGGCTTTTATTTCTTTGGTTCACTTCAGACAGAAAGCCATGTTAATCTGTATGTGACTCTCAGGACACGCTTAGGGCACTTGAGGAACAGTTTAGAGGAGAAATCAATCTACAATCTTTCTAAATGATAAAAGTATAGCACATCTACTAATAATTATATATAAATAAATCGGCTTTTACCGATGCAAATATGTTAGAAAAAATGCATTGCGATACAAATGCCAACTTGTATCCGATGCACACTTTTTTAAAATTGATGCATAGCATCATGGACTTTTATACACTGATGCGAATCAGTGAATCTGACCATCCCTAATATACATTCAGATTGACAATTTTTTTTAAAAATTTTTATGTTAATATTTTGATTTTTGTTTCATTTTAAGTTGTATTTAAAGTTTTAGTCATTTTTATTCGTTTTTGATTTTTTTCTAAAGTCAATATAATTTTAATGATTTTTATTTCAGTTTCAATTATTTTAATATATTAATATATTTAATAAGTTAAACTACATAAAAAAGAAACATGTTGGCAGTATGTTTAAATAAAAACATTTTATTTCCATTTTATTTTAATCAAAGTTTTAATGATTTTGTTTTGTCTTTGTTATTTTTATTCATTTTTAATTGTCTATATATCTATCTGTCTGTCTGTCTGTCTGTCTATCTATCTATCTATCTATCTATCTATCTATCTGTTTTTATTTCAGTTTTAGATTGTAATTTTAGTGCATCAATTTAAACTAAATAAAAAAGAAATGTCCCCAGTTGCCAGAAATAAAATACGTGTAATTTTT